ACAATTTTTATTTTATAATACTTTTTGATAAATCTAATAATTTTAGTGTTGTTTTAAGTTTTTTGGTGAAAATTATTTGTTTCATTTTTTGCGATTTTCTTCAAAACGAAGCAAAAACGAGCAAATCTCTAAAGGACTTTTTGCCTTAATTTATCGGTCCCGTACACGCTCCTAAAGTTTTGACATTTAAATTGGGGACACCCTGTATATTGAGAGCTGTTTATAATTAATAATAATTACAAATATATTAAGGTATTTTACTTTTATCATACTGAAATAGCAATATTTACCAATTCTTGACTATATCTAAACCAACAATAAAAGAACATAGAATAGTAACTTTTATGATAATTTTTACGTTAATACAAAGTCATGAATATATTTTAAAGTTATGTCAAAGATTATATTATATTAAAATTTGGTTATATGAGATAAAATAAATTTTTATTATCTCTAGTAAAAATTAAACTTTAACTAGATAAAGAAAATAAAACAAAAATAAAATATAAATAATAAAAGATATATTACCTGTTGTTGGATGCTGAGCATTGAGACAGCTGAGCCATTCTGTCATGCTGATTCTTCTATCATTATTAATGTCACAGTACCTCGGTAATTTTTTGCCACATCTCCGAAGCTGCCTATTATTTGCCACCATTGTACGAAAACTTTTCCATTCTTTCTTTTCTAAAACCTGTGAAATATGACAATTATATGAGTTAATTTTTCTAATGTAACTAGCTTAATTTTTAATTCGGTTATTGTTCTATTAAAATATTTTTAAAACTTTCTTTTACCGATCTTTTGTTGGGGGATTTCTAAAAGGACTAATATTGATTTCTTGGAAACTTCAAATAAAAAATTTATATTTTGTGTTCAGATGCTAAAACTGCTTATAAAACATGAGCAATTGCTATCTCTTTTAATTTTTGAAATTTCCTAAATGAAATTGCACATTATTAAAATTTAATATATGCAACGTTGAAATAATGTATTGTACGAGGCTCTGGTCTGTTATAATGAGGTGGGAGAGGTTTATTTAAAATAGAATTACTGTCTCTAAAAACAGAGACCGGGATCATAATAATCTGCTCATACTGTAGACCGGTCATTGTGGCGCTTGATAAGATTACTATGGAGTCTTTTGTAATTTTTTAACTATATGCAGACAATTGCAAGGCTAGGCGAGTCAAACCAGATTGTACTAGTCTGGGTTCTCGGTCATCAGGGGATAGCAGGAAATGAAAAGGCAGACAGGCTGGCAAAGTTGGGAATTGAAATAGATCCGACTGACCCGACTATCGATATCCCTTTTGCCACTGACAAAAGAATCATTAGGAATCGTCTGTCACAAGAGCGTCTAGTTAGCTGGGAAACTACTGGGGGCTGTCCAAAACACTGATAAAACAGTCCTTATCGAATAGGATGAAAGAACTTGGTAATAAAACAAAGGAAGTTGAGAATTAGAATTGGCCTTCTGACAAGTCATATTACCTTCAGGACACATATTTATAACCTGAGACTAGAGCAGAGAACTTCCTGGCTATGTGAAGAGGAGAAAGAAGACAGTGTACACATTCTACTGTGTCACTGTTCTGCACTTGCTTGCAAGAGATATACAGACTGCTGTATGCCTATTCTCTAACTTTTTTTAACGACAATCGCTATCGTTGCTTAGCAATGGTTGTTGCTTACGCTAATTATGGTATATAGCAGCGACAAAGCTATTCTGTAATTTGGACTAGCAATACAATATCGATATACAATGTGATTCCGACGTTGTTAATGAAACGACTATACTCGCATAAACGTAATTCTCCAGATAGCAAAATACTAACAGTATGCCACCAAATTCAATCATGACTTTGCAGCAGATTCCGGTCTGTTGCGTCCCCATTAAGCTTAATTTCTAACTGTACGTATTGCTCATGTAATATGACAGTGAAAAAGCAGCAAAAATCTGGCATTATTTACTGTTACATTGTGACAGCAAATATGTAACAAATATTGAGCAAAATCTATCATATTTGACACTGATGGCAGAAATCAAGCATGATCTGCTGTGATCACGCCGTGATCGCAGAAATGCAGCGAAGATAGAACACAATCTTACCTTATCAACTATTGAAAACAGAAACGCAGTAGAAATCGAGCATAGCCTGCTGTCACAATGTAGCGGCAAAAATATGGTAAAGATAAAACATATCTGATAAGAACAATAATATAGATGGAATAAAATTGAGAATATTATTATTGCATAAATGTCAACGGTAAATCATATCAGTTACTTGTAATTTTCCAGTCAGATAAATATAATATGTAAATATCATTTATCGTGTTGTATTATATATAATATAAATAATTGGCATATTTTTTAAAAAATAATTGATAATAAATAATTCATTTATTAATAATTCGTAAACCTCGATGATTTATATAGAAATTGAACTTTTATTTTGCATTTCAAGCAATCAATAATTGAACAATTTTCTATTGATTCATTTGGTTTCCAAACAATCAATTTAATATTCTGAATCCTCTGTTGGAATTGTTCAGAAAATTAAGCTGATAAAAATAAATATTATACACTTTTAATCTTGTTAATCGCGCTTTACAATCTGTTTATTCGCCCGTGATAAAAACTTGAATACGAGATAAATACATTGTATAGCGGTAAACGAAACAGAACTGTATATATAACTCAATATTACTGTATAATATCTTGTATAATATTGATGTGTTTCTGCCATGGATGTAAGGAATACCTGGACGGAACGCAACGTTGCAGGGTTGAAGCACAAAGGGTGAGGAGAATGAAACGTCTATTGAAACGAATGAGGCCTTTAAGATGGCGGCGGCAAATAATTTCACGGAGTGTAATCTATTTGAACGTCTTGAAACGAAGAAAGCTTTTGTCATGTACACTATATTTTAGTACTCACTATATTTTAATAATCACTATATTAATCACTATTAATCACGTTATTTTTTCGTGCAACGAATATATTCGTAAACATGTTGATAGTGGATGGCGGTAGCGGATAATTTCACGAAATGTGGTCGCAATGTCTCGATTAACATCGAGTAATACCGCGCGACGTGAAAGTAGACGCTAAATCTGAGGCCTTTAAGATGAACGCGACGATGGACCTCTGAACTCCCCGCGTCTAAAGAGGCACCTTACGTTTCAGGTATTTCTTACGTCCATGGTTTCTGCCATTATCTGATTTACATGACAACAGACTATGCTGTGTTTCTGCTGTTTTTGCTGTTATCTTTTGAAATGGCAATGCATGTTGAATTTTGAGTGGGAGGGAGGGAGGGAGAGGGAGAGAGAAAGAGAGAGAGAGAGAGAAATCGCGGTTTACTTTTTTAAATGATACTGATAATGAGGGCGAATTATTATAAGTGCTCAAAAGAGAAAGAGAGAGAGATGGAGAGAGAGAGAGAGAGAGAGAGAGAGAGAGAAAGAGAGAGAGAGTTTAGAAATTGAAGTTTATAAATGGAAACGGAAGCCGGTAGAGAAGCGTTAGGGAGAGAGAATGGGAGATACAAAAATTAAATTGGTATTTAAAATTTAATATGCACAATATTAATTGTTGCAATCGAAATTCAAATAGAAATCAATAATCAGAAAGAAAATAAATTTCTATTTTTCGGATAAATATTAGGTTTGGGTTAAATTAGTTTTTTTGGAAGTGAGATTGCAGGGGGAGAAGCTTCGCTCCTCCCCCGCCCACGCATTCACTTAAATACTTAAATATACAATTAATCTAAAATTCATGGGTTTCTTAAATCGGAGAAGTTTAGATTATCGCATTTAATACTTGTTCTTGTCGTACAATTTAATTGTTAATAACTTTTTAATAAACAGCGACGGCTAAAACCTCTTGGATGTTACTCAGGGTCATGACCTTGACAACATATGTCAAGGTCGAGGTCATTGGAAGTGGGCTCCCTAATATGCATATTTACCACGATAGCTTTTATTCTTTCTTTATATCAAGTGGTATTGAGCATGCGAACATACGATTACTGTTTGTGGAGTATTTCCATATACCTTGTTTTTATTCTTATCAAGCATCACAAAATGCCACGTAGCTATCCTTTCTTCCTTAGAAGCTTGCCATTTAGCGGTAGTTTCGTCAGAATCAGTGTTGGATGCTGTCATTTTTTCTTGCATAAGGTCCATTAGATCTCGAAGGAATAATTGTTTCTTTAGCTCTGGACATCCTATTAAAATAAATTAATGTTAACCAATATATAATAAATACATGTTAATTATGACAAAGATAAATATTGTCATATATTTTTATTTATATAACCTGCATTTCAAGTGTGTATTTACATTTATAATCTGCCTGTTCAGTTAAATACAGGTTCATTTAAATTCATCAAACAGAAGAAATTTTTGTCTTCATGTATAATTGTTCGCAATATTTTCTTATAATATTAATGTAATTAATTCAATAGTGTATGGATCCAACAAACAGGTATTTATAGAATAATTGATGGATAGAGTCCCAGCATCCTCTTTTATTTATTTTCCATCTTATTTAGTAACAGTGAAGATCAATTTAATATGTGGAAACTATTTTATTTTATTTTATAAAATAGTTATCAATATAGTCAATCTTATAGAATATAATCCGACATCCATGCACGCCTTCATTGGATACGATACAAATATAAAGCCGGAATTTCGGCGCGTAAAGACTCGATTCATAGCGAACCTCATTGAGTATAACCTTATTGTATAATTGTGACAGAGCTTTCTCGCCGCTGGGGAGAGAGGGAAGCGCATCAGCATTTGCGCGGGTAGTCAGGCAGCTCTTAGAGCCTTTGGCGCTCTGACTTTTACTTCCAGGTTGGTCTGGGGCTGCAGATGCGCCCTGGAAGAGCTGGCACGGAAAAATGAGGTTCTTCTGGTATGGGTGTTTGGGCACTACTCCGGCATCAAGGACAATGAGGCAGCCGATCAGCTTGTCAGAGCTGGATCAAAGGCTGAATTGGTGGCCGGAGTCGGCGGTCGGTGTTTTCTGCTGTTTGGGCAGAGAAACGATTGGACGCTGGTTGCCGCGGAGATGGGACGCGGGACCAGCATTTGGCTTGAGAAGCATAGTCGGATGTAGGCAGTCAATGGCACCTCTCGGGGATTCGCCGAGTGGGGGCTTAGCTATCTGCATCAAAGGTTTAAATAGACAAGAAGCTGCGTTAGTGACACGGATACTCTCTGGGCACGATATTCTCAATTATTATCTGCATCTTTGGGCCTTAGCAATAGGCCCAACTGCAAAAGATGCGGGGTATTGGAGAAATTAAGCCTTCATATGCTGTGTGACTGCCCGGCATATGCCAGGGCAAGATTTGTACTGCTAGGTTCAGCTTTTTTAAAGCCTCAGAAGTCAGGGACTTTCTTCTCTTTTGGAGAAGGGTTGGTCTGAAATAAAGGATTTATCGGGGAGATACAATGTGAGATACATTTTGCATGCCGTAGGCGGAATTTCGTTTCTGAGAACCGTTCCCGTCTCTTTCTATAACTGCTAAAAAATTACCTTTTTTTAAAAAAAGTAAAAAAAGGCGCCAAGTGCACGCGCACAAGAGATATAAGTAACATTAATAAAACATAGTCTGTAAGATTAATGTGTATAAATCTTATACATTTCTATTTATATTTTATTTTCATTTCTATTTATTTTTTTAAATAATTTATAAATTTTTATAATAAATTTATAAATACATTTATTTTTCAATGGAACTAGAAACATTTTTCAAGCTGTTAAGATTTTGACAAAGTCTGCGACCACATGTCTATTGCAAACCAACATATTGTAACCAATCTTTGTCTCGATGCTAAACACAACAAAATTATTGATAATGTCAGTTTTAATACTAAATTTTATTTGCCAAATATATATACCAAATAGCATTCTGACAGATGGAAAAATACTATGTAACAGATCTATTATATTCATTAACGATATATGCTTCATCTATTTCAAGCGATGCAGTAGCATTGAAACAGGAATTAATTACAATATGTTGGTTTGCAATAAACATGTTGCTACAGGCTTTGTCAAAATCTTATCAACAGCTTGGAAAATTCTTCTAGTTCCACTAAAAAATAAATGTACATTTTTAAATTATTTAAAAAAATAAATAGAAATTTAATCTTACAGACTGCGTTTCACCAATGTTATTTATACTTATCTGTAACTGTCTATGATGCATGACAAATAACTATATGACAAACTATATGACACTCCTTTGACAAATGCACTCAAATATGTATTCTTGATGTGTATGTCTATATTAACTGATGTGTATGTCTATATTTCTATATCGATAACTGCTCGCAGTTATCCATAGTGGCTTTTGACAGGTATAAGTTAAATTTTCCAGAGTGCAACATTATATAGCGTAGCACTCTTTCATTTATAAAAAGGTGAAGCTGCAAAATTCTTCGTGATACTTGGATAGTTGAATCAGGTATAGAATACAAACACACACATATCTTATAATAAACAACCGCGTTACAATTTTCATTTCTATTTATTTTTTTTAAATAATTTATAAATTTTTATAATAAATTTATAAATACATTTATTTTTAATGAAACTAGAAAAGAAACTAGAAAAATTTTTCAAGATATTGATAAGATTTTGACAAAGCCTGCGGAAATAATTACTATTATAATCATTATTATTATCATTATTATTATTATTATTATTATTATTAAATACAAACTCAAGTTATTGATTAAGCCTATTAGAAATTCGATTGTTTTACATATTATTAAAATAAGTACAATGTATAGTAAAAAAAAGAATGATATAATTGTTAAAAACTTACCTTTTTTAAAAAAAGTAAAAAAAAGGCACATAAAAAATTTTTATGTAATATAGTTTTATTTTCTATTTGAACCAAAAAACTGTTGTACAAAATAGCTGTTTTAATTTTTTACAAAAAAATAGTAATATTAAAAAATTGTGCGCCAATTAATACAAACTTATGCTACAAAATTTATTTATTATTATTTCTAACACATTAAAAAGATGCTATATCTAAATTGCAATGTCTTTTAAAATAGTGAAACATATTCAAGTATAAAAAAATTTTTAATTAAGAAAACTTGGCGCTGCTAAACATATGCTAATCAAATTAATGTACTCGTTACATTTTGAATTTAGCTATAAAGTTTTTGTAAAACCCCCTTTCAAAGCCGAAAAGCAAGAAATAAATAAATATCTATCTAACTAAATGGAAATTCGAAAAAAGCTAATCTATTAATCAGATATTATTTTAATTTAAAATAATAACATACCGTCTTTAAAATGGAAATTAAGTAAAATAATCGAAACACACGGGCACAGATCGTAAAATGTGCGTCATTATATTGAAAACAGCAAGCGGAATATGTAAAAAAGCAATCAATAAATTATGTAAGCTGCCAACAACTGACTCATTGGTAGTATGCGATGTGTAGACATTAATTGACATTAATTGGTGGGCGTAATGTATAGAATTGAGGTATATATCGTATTACAAGCGAAGGTGCGATCTATATCGATATATGTAAGGCGATCACCTAAGCATTCGCGCAAGCGTATAGATAAGTGAGGAAAACCCTCGAGTGGTGATTCGAAAGATAGCGATCGATGACACGAAAATTGAGATGAGTTCGATTCCAAGTTCAGTCGAAATACAAGTGCGATTACAAGTTCGATCGAAACTACAAGTCCGATTAACGAGAGTGATTACGAGTGCGATCGAAGATACAATCTAGTGTGTGATCACAACCATTTATATACTATTTTTATCATATCAACCAATAACACGTGTTTTTTAAATACTTTTTTTTTAATTATAAAACAAAAAAACATAATTAGTATTTAGATTTTGGAAAATTTACTTCTCTTATTTAAATATAAATAAAAATATAAGTATATAAAATTTCAAAATAATATGTAAATTTTTTTTATAAATTTCCCAAGACAAGCTAATTTTTTATGTGCTTTAGATTAGAATACCTCTTCACTTGAAAAAAATTCGAACAATCTTCTAAAAAATTGAATTTTCTTTAATTACCTTTTATAGGTCTACTGGGAGTCGGGACTGGGTTACAATTTGGCGTACGATTCTTCGAGGATGTTCCGGGAATTGGCTTACCCGAATCCTGATATACACACCAGCAATAACCGGAATAGCATTGAACTCGATGATACCTTCCATCAGACGTACATTGTGGTATGTAAAATTTTTCTTGTGAATTTTGCTTTTGATCTTCCAATACTGATCTTCTATCTGACATGCAATCATTCGCTGCAAAAAAATTAATAAATATAGTTTAATAAACAAAAACTTTTTATATCCAAATTAGACATAGAAATGTTTCTTTTGGAGGCAGACAAAACCATATCGTATGTGTAGGTGCTGTCAATAAATACGTTTTCCAGAAGATATTCAAATGATAAATAATCTAAATACGTGAGTGTCTGGAATTGAATTCAAGACCTGCCGACGAATCTATCGGATCATAAAAGACGGTACTCTGATTAACTCTCCGGATGAATCTTATAATATAACCACGGTCACAATATACGTGTATACAGAGTGTCCCATTTTAATCTATTATCCCTTTTATTTCCGCACAGTAAGGTCGAATTAAAAATATGTTCAGACACAAGTTGTAGAGTTTAAAGTGGGCCAAAAGACGATCTTATTAATAGATTTTGGATCGGGGATCCGTGTTGGGCCCAAGACAATTTTTTAAAATGGGAATCCCCATTTTTTATTGCATATTCATGTAGCTTATCTCAAGAGCTTTTCAAAGCACTATAATAAAGTATTTTTTCATTAAGTATTTTTCGAGTTATTTTATATCTTAATCTGACATATTTTGATATAAAATACATATAAAATATCTCGTAAAATATTAAGTTTTCGATAATCTTATCGTAATCTTTTTATATACAGAATAATGATATGAATTAATTTATGTAAAAAAAACAAATAATTGCTTAAAAAAACATTGTAAATAATTACGTACTTTTTCTTAAAAAAAATTATTTTCCTTATATCAATTGATTCGAAAACTAAATATTTTACAAGATATTTTATATTTTTTATCAAAATATGTCAGATTAAGATATAAAATAACTCGAAAAATACTTAATGAAAAAGTACTTTATTATAGTGTTTTGTAAAGCTCTCGAAGTAAGCTACATGAATATGCAATAAAAATGGGAGTTCCCGTTTAAGATTGTCTATTGGCACCCTTTGAACCCTATAACTTTTGAACTTCTAAACATATTTTTAATTCGACCTTACCCTGCGGAAATAAAAGGAGTGATAGATTAAATTTGGATACTCTGTATATATTATGTATGCACGCGAGCGCGCGCGCGCGCGTGTGTGTGTGTGTGTGTGTGTGTATTGTGACGTGACGTTTTTCATCGTCCGTCACAAGGGCCGAAAGGTCCGACTGTGGACGGTTTTTTGGGGGGGGCTGCGTCCTCTCATTTTGGCCCGTTCGAGAGAACGAACAGCATTGCGCGTATTCAGAAAACGTATTTAACACTTCCACACATAAAAATAAGGAGAAAAAAAATTCGTAAGGTATGGGATCGAACCCTAGTCTCCAGCGTGAAAGTCCAGGCGCTTTCCGTTGTGCCGCTACGAATCATTAGAAGCGGGCTTAGTAAGAGTATTTATATGCACGTATATTTGCGTTAAAATTTTATGAATTCTTTTTTTCGGCAAATTCCGAGAAGTATATCAAATGGTTTTGCAACGAAACTACATTGGACGAAAATTACTTATAAAAAATTTTTTATTGATGAGCCAGAATATGTGGTATCCTCTTGTAAATACAAATAGAACTTACCGTCACCTTCTTCCTTAGTATCTGGTAGATTGCTGTTAAACGTCGGCAGAGGATGAATAGTTGGACTACTTTTCAAAACTGTAAAAGATGCATTAATTTGTTATAATGTTCATTCTTTCTGCATTTTATAGATAGAAAAAAATAGATTTTTCTCAAAATCTTAAAACATTAAATAGAATATTAATTTGCCACGAACAACTTGAATATATGAGTTAATTAAATCTGGTTTCGCCGTATAATGGCAAGGAAAGGTGCAAATATATCTAACAATATTATATTATCATAATATTATGTTACATACATTACTGTTGTAATGTTGCAAAATAATATTCTCTAGTATCATATAGATAAATCGCGTTATATTATTTGTCACTTCTACGTTATATTACTGCAACAAACAGTGTTTATTAGAAATGACGAAATGCTGAACGCATAGAGGCATAGACATATAGGATAGGCTGGCCCCTGCCGTAAAAGTCAGCGTGAAAACATATGAAGGACAGAAATAGCATTTCGTCTCTTTCTTTTGGCATGTAGTGGGAATTGATAGCGAAAGATGAAGATAAAGCGAGCAAGTCCCTTCTTTCATGCACATATATTCCCCTCATTCGCTTTTATCCCTACTACTCTTACTCAAGCAAGGACAGAAATAGCATTGTGGGGCAATGAAATACACGAACTTATTATTTTATTAAATTATATTAGCGAATATGCATTAAAAATGTACATTTCGGACCATCTTCAGTATGGATATAAATATGTAAAAATTAAATAGGAATTTTAAAACCTAACATGCATAACATTTATTGTTGCAATCAAATTTCAAATTAAAATTAATAATCGAAAAAAGGCTTACTAAAACCCGCGTAAAATCTGTACAAATTAGTGGACAATGTCCAAACACCGTCGTCATACGTATATCGCATCGATGGTTTACATTTACAATATAATCAATTAATATAAATTATTAAAAAATTTCAATCAGAAATATATATATATAATTATCCTTTTTATTTAATAATTAAAAAGTACTTATCTTTTCGAAGAGTTTTTTGATTTTAATTTGCAATTACTTTTTTAAATAATTACTTTAATAATGTCTAAAAAATTGTATTAATCATCATTATTGTATTATCAAATAAATATTATCTATATTTTAGCATTAAATCGAAAAAGACGATATTATTTGTAATAAGGCATTAATACTTATATGAATGTAATATTTGGTTTAGAGGAATTACGTGCATTATTCGCTATTATGTATGTATATACGTACTGTCCACCCAAATGAAAAAAAGACATGCGTGTAAGAGACATGTATGTATATAACTTACGAGTAAAGTCATTCGCGAGGCAAGCACCCCATTCCTGCCTGGATAGCTTTAAGTCTCGATTTAGGTCGCACGTGCGAGCGAATGTTCGTGCGCACTTTTTCGGTCTCACTGCTTTTTTAGCGAGCCTTCTAAGCTCCTTGTACTCTGTCGCATCTAAGTAACCATTTCCGTCTTTGTCCAGAATTCCAAATTTCCATGACAGCACTCTTTCGACATTCTTATCACCTATTAAAGAAGATTAACGCATATCTTAACAGTCTTTAATATACAGGGTGAGTCTTTTTAATCTTAACAAGCAAATATCTCAAAACCTGTAAGTTTTAGAAGGAAACCTTTTAGACAAAAGTTGTTTGGTTTTGAGGGGGAAAGAAGGTAGGAATATTAGTTAGACCTTGGGTGGCATTGTTAAGGTCATATCAAAGTCACATTGAATTTTTTAAATTGAAACCTTTATTTTTTATTGCATATTCTTATAGTCCTTGTGGAGACCTTTTCAAAACTCTATAATAAAGTATGTTTTCATTAAGTACTTTTTGAGTTATTTTATATCTTAATCTGACATATTTTGATATAAAAAATAAAATATCTCGTAAAATATTTAGTTTTCGATAATCTTACCGTAATACTTTTATGTACAGAATAATGAGAGAAATCAATTAGTGTAAAAAAAACAAATAATTGTTAAAAAAATACGATAAATATGCATAAAAGGTTACACCTCACCGATTTTATCGCCACTTAAATATGTTGTAGGGAAGGTTCTTCTGACAAGTAACACTAGGGAAGTGTCATACGGCGAATTTCCTGAAACTTGGCATACAAGTAGTACATGGAAAACTATTAGACACGTATATTGTTATATCGGCCCGAAAGCCGTTTGAAGAAGATTAGAAATCACCCTTATCTATTTTGGGGGTAGGTTCGACTATTTTACATTTGGTTTGGATTACGTTATATAACTCAAATTGTAGCTTCGGGGTGGAATTTTTTCGGATTGGGGTGCAGGGAAAGGGGCCCCGCCCCTCCCCCGCCAACGCGTTATAGTCGTAAGCTTTTTTCAATAAAAAAATAATAGATTATTACAGCATACACAAACTTTAATTTGTCATATCTTCTAAACGAATGCTTTCCTCCACTTTTTTCTTGCGGCGAATTACTCAGAAGAACCTCCCCTACAACATATTTAAGTGGCGATAAAATCGGTGAGGTGTGACCTTATATGCATATTTACCAAAAATACATTGTAAATAATTACATACTTTTTCTCAAAAACAATTTTTTTTTATACCAATTGATTTGTCTCATTATTCTGTACATAAAAGTATTACGGTAAGATTATCGAAAACTAAATATTTTACGAGATATTTTATTTTTTATATCAAAATATGTGTCAGATTAAGATATAAAATAACTCAAAAAGTACTTATTGAAAACATACTTTATTAGAGTTTTAAAAAAATCTCGACAAGGGCTATAAGAATATGCAATAAAAAATAGAGGTTTTAATTAAAAAAATTCAATGTGACCTTGATATGACCTTAACAATGCCACCCAAGGTCTAACTAATATTCCTATCTCTTTTCCCCCTCAGTACCGAACAACTTTTGTCTAAAAAGATTCCTTCTAAAACTTACAGGTTTTGAGATATTTGCCTGTTAAGATTAAAAAGACTCACCCTGTATATAGGCTGCGTTTCGATCACTGCCAGTATTGAAAATATATAGTTTACGTCATATACATTGTAGATTTTCAGTACTGGCAGTGAATATCGGAACACAGCCTTAGTCTTAAAAAATTAAATATGCTAACTTTATCAATTATTTTTTAAGGATATAAAATATATTTCTTCTTTTAAGAAAAAAGTAAACCTATATGCGATGATCTTGCTATCGGCGATCCCATTAGTGGCTGTAGAGAATTTCGTCTCTTTATTATATTCGTACTATTCTTATTATTCTTTATTAGTTTTTTAACATTTCTATCACCACATATTATAGGTAAAAAAAATAATTTTTTAAGTCCTTTGTCTCTACTTTCCACATGTTTTTAGAAATACGACGTGATAGTTTACGGTTTATCTCACAGGACAAAACAGAAGGATTTCCTTTAGGTGGACCTTTTTACCTATTGCCTGTTACTAATTATTTGATTATGCTACTTATCATATTTATTTAATTTAATTTTTAATTTACACTGAAGAGGATTTAAACCAGAATTTAACCAACATGTATGTTTTATTTGTAATTTTTTCTTGACTAATTTTGTCTATTATATACACAATATATAATTATATACACAACATATTTGGATCTTTTTCTAATGCTTATTTTATTATTTTATAAAACTAGATTTTTTAAAATATTTTATTTATATTTTTCATTAAATATTTTGACGATTATTTGTTCCATCAAAAATATATTTCGATAAAGTTTATTTGAAATTATATTAAAAAATTGATATTTATTATTCTTTATCTATACCTTTTGAGATTTAATTAATTAAGCAGTTAACTGGTAATGACGCATATATGCGCACATTGAATAACTCCGATAAATTTCGATGGATCTGGATAAAACTTGGTATACTAGAGTTTTTTGAATCGCTGAATCGGAATCTGAGCTCAGGGTCTACAAATTCGTCATCGTTCAGTTAATGGCGCCTGAAATGCCCTCTTTGAACGGTTTTCGAGACGGTGATCCAAAGTACAGCTCGAAAGCAAAAAAAATACCCCCGCTATTAGCTGGTGACCAAGAAATCACGACCCCAGAGTGCGCCACGTGAAGGCTGCGATGGAATTTATACACTCCGTTTTTTTTTGTTTTTTTTTATTAGATTTTTTTTTAATTTTGCTTTCTCATAAAGGAAGATTTGTTTTCGTGACAAAATTTTTTGTCGAGTTTTCTATGCCAGTGTGCTTAGAATGTTCTAAAACATCGAAAAATCATATTCTTAAAAAATGTCTGCATGTATGTATGTGTGTATGTGTGTATGTGTGTATGTGTGTACGCGAGTATTATTAGAGTATTATTAAATATAGTATTATTATATATAGAGTATTATTAAAGGATCTTTGATATTTAATTTAGTGAGGAACGGTGAAAGACTTCATTTTTTATAAAATTTTGAATTTTTTGAGAAATGTCTATACATGTCTTAACTTTTGCAAATTTTAAGATACCGAGTTAAATCTTTTTATATGGATAGAGTATCATTAAAGGATAGTTGGTATTGAATTTGCTTCCTCTATGAGGAAGCAATGTGCAAATTTCTAATTTGCACAATTTTCAGCTTGTTTCAAATTAAAAAAAAAATTTTTTTGAGGTTTTATGTTTTTTTAAAGATTTTTTTTTAAGATTTTGTGTTAATTTTGTGTCAATTCCGCCGACTGGACTAGTTTCTGAATTCTAACAGATGTTGCAAAAAATTAGGTTCGGTGTGGATGTATGGTTTCAAGGATGCGCGATATCAAAATTACGACTCCAGATTCAAAATCAGCAACCTCAAAAACGATTGTACCGATTTTTGAAACGTAATCAATCTTACCAGTTTTGGAAAACGGCTCAAGGGCTTACCAGTTAACTGCTTAAGGTTTAATTAAAATCTAAAAAGATGTATTTGCGAGAGCTTGTTTATCTTTGTCTTATTTTAATATTCTTAATACCAAAAAAGACTTTACAAAACATTTTTATAAAAATTTGTTTTTTATTTTTGAATATGTGAATACAATTCCGAAGTTTGTATATGTATTCTTAATATAATTTTTAATACTCTGGATGTTCTAATTCTCAATATGTTGTAAATTGGAAACAATGTTTTGCCTAAATAAATTTAATTTGTATCGTAAAATGTTAGCATAATTATAATATGTACATTTTTCTATTTAAATTTAATGACAATAGCAGCCATTATTTTCTTTATAGAAACTATATTATCTCACAATTTAAATAAATACTTTACCTGTTTTTTATATACTGTATGTTTAAAATTATTTAATATGTCTCGCGTCCCCCCGATAAATACGCATATTTACTGGAATTATGAATATTAACATATTCGCGACTGGCAATTTTGCCGCGATCTTAAAAAGCCGCTAGGTTCCGCATCCTCATTAAGTTAGCACCCCCACCACAATAAATTAAAATAAAATATATACCAAAATTAAGTGCTATTTAGGTGCTAATTTTAGTGCTCAAACCATTTAGCTGGAATTCGCGATTTAAAGTGGAGGTGCTAGCTTTCATCAAGCTAGCAAACCCATTATTAAATACTTGCACAAAATCAAAAAGTAAATATATCAGAATTAGTAGCTTAATAACAAGAATAAAGTACTTTAAAAAATCAAGATAAAGCATCGGTTCTGGCCTTGAAATATTCCCTGATTTTAGTGCTCACAAAATATAAAAAACTAGCTTATAGGCCCGCGCTTCGCGCGGGCTTCTGAGTCTATCCGTCTTCAATACTTTACCTAGCATATAATAGATGTTATATTTTTTATTATTTATTCACATATTTTTTTTACGATTGACGTACTTACCGTTAATCCACCATTATTATTTATTCACCATTAATCCACTATTTTTTGCTATAATTTATTTTTATAATTTTTCTATTCATAATTCGCATTCACGCATAGAGAGAGAGAGAAAGAGAGAGGAGAGAGAAAAAAATGTGGTAGATCGAAGGCTGATCCGAGGCCCCGATGTGAGGCGGCGGACGTGTCCCCGGTTGTAATTGCGATTTGTTATATATAAATTTTAGGACAAACGATTGACGTTTACGATTGGCGTCTGGCGATTAGATGCAAAACACATTTTATCGTCCTGGCATTCTACCATAATGTGTTTTCGCGACCCGATATATGTATACGCGCGACGGACGTCCGGCTCCGAAACTTATGCAAATTAGCTCCGGGTGCGACTTAGGATCGTTAGGTGAAGGAAGGAGGTTGACTATTGATAACGTAACGCCGATATCATTTCAGATATAATATATATACCTGTTTATAATCTAGACTAGCGATATATATTTCAGGATGCAAATTCGAATGCGTTGAGGGGTGTCTTTTTACAATAATAAATAATCAATTCTTAAAACTCGTAAATATCTCTCGAGCGAAGCGTTTAGATTTATTTCCTCTCCCCTGTCCCCATTGTACGATATACGAAGGAAAAAGAAGATTCTCGGTTCGCCGCGCGCGTAAGAAATCTTTACATCAGCCGTAACCACGTTCGCGGGATCTCGTCACTCAAAGACACAAATTGTCGCCACCGATCATTTTGTCCCGGCGTACGTGCGTGTGTGCGTAGATGTGCGTCGCGTCGATCGATCCGCGACGACGGCTTCTTGCGTACCGCGTCCTCCCCGACAAGGAATGCGGATTTGTCTCCCCGATATCACCAAGTTGGCCGTGTCGAACAACCGTCTGCCTCGATCAAACTTGTAGAGGAAATAAATGTCCCTCGACGAGACGGGATCTCGAGAGGCGTTTACGCCTTCTCGACGGGACACAACCGTGTACAGGTATAGGTTTTCCATATAATCCTCCTCTCCCCCTCCCCCCTTTTCCCCTCTCCTCTCACCGTCGCTTCGTTCTCGTGCCGCGGCCTTAGAAGAAGAAACGGGAACGCGCCGATTTCAAGAGTCATTATCTGTGACGTGCCGAGACTATGGTTATGTCAAAAAATCGTTCCTCCGTCTGTGCTCGCGCGTCTCTTTGCGGCTTCCGCCGTGAACACGAGACTAACCGACCTGCTTATTAAAACCAACGAGATTTTTGGTTACGTGCTCCGTTTGGTCACGCAGAACATTGCGACACGTGTCTGCGTTTAGATTCCTGCGCAAATCATTAAACGGTCGTATTTTCTTTGACCCAAGAACGATCAAAAAATATTTAAAAAATTAAATACACGCATATACATATTATATAGTATATAGTATACCATGTAATATGTATAAGTATACAGGGTGCGGCATTTATAGTGACGCGGGCATATTTTTCGGAAACGAAGTGAGATATCAAAAAATGTTTCTGACAAAAGTTGTAGGGTTCAGAGGGGGACACATGATGAAAATATGGACTTGACCTTGAGTGACCTTTTCAAGGCCAAGTCAATGTGATCGATATTTTTTAAATGGAACCCCCCATTTTTTATTGCATATTCTTGTAGTGTAAAGAAAAAAAACAAATAATTGTTTAAAAAAATACATAGTAAATAATTACATACTTTTTCTTAAAAACAATTATTTTTTTTTTACTAATTGATTTGTCTCATTATTCTGTACATAAAAGTATTACGGTAAGATTATCAAAAACTGAATATTTTACGAGATATTTTATTTTTTATATCAAAATATGTCAGAATAAAATATAAAATAACTCAAAAAGTACTTAATGAAAAAATACTTTATTATAGTGTTTTGAAAAGCTTTCGAGATAAGCTACAAGAATATGTAATAAAAAATGGGGGATTCCATTTAAGAAAATATCGATCACATTGACTTGGCCTTGAAAAGGCCACTCATGTGGTCACTCAAGGTCAAGTCCATATTTTCATCATGTGTCCCCCTCTGAACCCTACAACTTTTGTATAAAATATTTTTTTCCATCTTGCTTACTTTACGAGATATTTGCGTGCGTTGATTAAAATAACTCACCCTGTATATATAGATTAGATTTTGGTGCTCAGTCCCTGTCGCGAAAAATTCATACTTAATCTACCAAATAACTAAACTAACAAGAATAAAGTAATTTAAAAAATCGAGATAAAGCATCGGTTCTGGTCTTGAAATATTCCCTGATTTTAGTACTCACAAAACATAAAAAATTAGATTTTGATTTAATAAATGCAGATTATATAGTTCTGAAGTGTTACGTACCGCAAAACATGAAATGATAGAAAAATTATATTGATAAGGATCCTGTATTTTATTCTTGTTAGTTTAGTTATTCGGTAGATTAAGTATGAATTTTTTGCGATAAGAACTGAGCACTAAAATCAATCTTTATATGTTTTCTGAGCACTAAAATCAGGGAATATTTCAAGGCCAGAACCGATCTTTTATCTCGATTTTTTCAAGTACTTTATTTGTATACGTATTCTGTCCTTGTTAGCTGATATCTTCTAAATTATAATAAATAACTAAATTTTGTTAATTGTTCTTAAAAGCACTTAAAAAGCACTTAATTCTGATATATTTACTTTTTGATTTTGTGCAAGTATTTAATAATGGAGGTGCTACCTTGATGAAAGATAGCACCTCCACTTTAAATCGCGAATTCCATTTAAATGGTTTGAGCACTAAAATTAGGAATACAGCACCAAATTAGCACCTAAATAGCACTTACCCAATTAAAACAAGAATAAAATTTTGAAAATTAGCTTTTGATTATCATACTTCAAATTAATTATTATTCTATGAGGGGCAGTCAAATATAAACCAAACTTTTTCCGAACTATTTTTTGACACGGAACTAAAAAGGAAATGCCAGTCTGATGGCAAAAGTGCTTATATGTTAGTGGAAACTGTGTAAGAAGATGACTTGGGTGTGCGTTAGAAATATTTTGATGGTAAATATTGACAAAAGGGGACCCAGTCCCAATGACCTTGACCTTGATATATGTTGTCAAGGACATGCTCCTGAGTAACTTTCAAAAAGTTGTAGCTGTCGCTCATTGTTTATTAAAAAGTTATTAACAAAATAAGTTTAACGAATCAAGCGTAATTTTCTGACATTAATATTGAGAAGTATACACACATATACACAATATATATGGCATGTGTGTGTATGAAGTGAAAAAATGGGCGGGGGATGTTTCTTAAATGTACATGGTGTCAAAAAATTATAAGTTATTAACAAAATAAGTTTAATGAATGGAACGTGATTATCTGACACCGCGTACAAGAAGAAGTGTATAAAAATCAGAAATCATAGAAATAGGTTTGGGTTAGGTTATATCTTCCGGAAGTGGAGTCCCCCCCCCGAAGGGGGGGGGCGGAACCCACTGAATCCCCGCATACACTTTTCCATCCACACAATAATTATGGGGTGGACCTCGCTTTGCTTTGTAAAGTATATGCGAAGATACAGTGAGCTCCGCCCCTCCTACGGGGAGGCTCCACTTCCGGAAGATATAACCTAACCCAAACCAAATTTTAGTTTTAAATCAGAAAAAGGTTTGGGTTAGGTTATATCTTCCGGAAGTGGAGCTCCCCGTAGGGGGGGGGGGGCACGGAACCCACTGCATCCACACATACACTTTTTCATCCACACGACAATTGTGAGATAGATCTCGCTTTGCTTTGTAAAGTATATGCGAAGATACAGTGAGCTCCGCCCCTCCTACGGGGAGGCTCCACTTCCGGAAGATATAACCTAACCCAAATCTATTTTTGATTTCATTTGTTTTATTTTGTTATTTTTAACTTTATTTTGTTAACTTTATTATTCGTTAACAAAACGTTAACTTTAAACTCCTTGAACATGGGTTGGGTTAGGTTAGTTTTTTTTTGGGGAGCGAGTGCAGGGGAAGGGGCGGAGCCCCTCCCCCGCCTATGTGTCCGATTTATTACACATAAATAAATGATTCTGCTAAGATACGCTCTATTAAATGTACATAGTGTCAGAAAAATCACGTTTTAGTTAGTAAACTTTTTTTATTAATAACTTTTCAATTAACAACGAGCGACGGCTATAACCTTTTGAGAGTTACTTAGGGCGATGATCTTGACAACATATGTCAAGGTCAAGGTCATTGGGGCTGGGTCCCCTTTTGTCAATATTTACCCTAAAGATCGCTGCAACGTTAATGTCTTTCCGTTTTAGCTATGAAAAAACGTAGTACTACATCCGCGCGCAGGCGCGCGCGAGTTTTAGTTTTAGTTATGAAAAGACGTGGTATACGCCAGCGGCCGTTTATTTATCCACCAAATACTAATATTAAAATAAAAATCATTGGAAATTATATAAAAAATTGTTTGAAATTATATTTACTTGAAACCAAATTATATTGTTTTATTTCGCATATTTTAGAAAAATCTGTCTTATTGTAAAAATATTTTCGATTAGATATTATAATGTTTATTAGAATAAAATATACATGAAATTTATGCATGAAAAAGTATAAGGTTAAGCCTTTTTAGATAATAAAATTTTATATTAAAATTATATTAAAAAACCAATAAAAATTTATATTAAAAACTCTATAAAAAGAATAAAAATTTATGAGTACTTTTTTTATGATTGTATATTAGAGAATTTTCATCAATATATTCTTATAAAAGCACCTGTTTACTTAAAAATTAACTTTAGTTAATCCTTCTCATTTCTCTTTCTGTTCAACCAGATTATTATATGAATTAGGTTATTCTTTTTGAGCAATTTTATACTACTTACCGTCAATGGATATATTAATCCGCCTGTATTCAATTTTGAAATTTTCAATGAGATTTTCATTGAATTTGGACTTTTCCGTTCGATCGCAAGTATTACGTTGTCTGTTGCTATTATACTGCCGCCGTTGTTTTCTTGGCGAATGGCGCGTTAGACCGTTCCTAGTAGAAGCAGGAGATTTGGAGTCGAATCTCAAACATCTTGGTTTTTGGTGTCTTACTGATGTATCGGGTAACGGCCGACCTTGCGGTGTTACACACCAACAATACCCAGTCTCTATGTGACATTGAATCGGTGCATATGTTCCATCGTGTTGACAGATAAGCCGTGCGCCCAGTCGGGTTGTTAGTCTTGCTGAGAAGCATGCTGGTGTTTCTAAATATAAGTCAACAATATCATTCGTCAAATTTAACTTTCAATTATTGTGGAAAGGTGAGAGAGAGAAAGAGAATTCAAAATAATTGTCAAAATGGGGCGTAATGATACTTTTGAATTCAATGTTTTTTATATACATATATATAATAAAAGCACTCGCGCACGCATGCACACATACACACACCCACGCCCACTACACACACGCGCGCGCGCGCACACACACACGCACGCACGCACACGCACACACACACACACACACACACACACAGAGGGGTACGTTCCAAAACTTACTCTTAGTCAACCTCGGAAATTTAAGGCATGGAAGGGATGTGGTAAACCAGGGTAGCAGTTATTTTGAAACGGATTTGACGACACGACAGTGGCCCAGTTTATACCGATATACTTTAATACGTACTAAATACTATACTGACCAATCACAACCATTTCATTTTTTAGAGGAATGGCTATGACTGGCCAGTATAGTACTTAATACGTATTAAAGTATATCGATGTAAATTAGGCCAATATTATTATTATAATTTTATAATATTATAAATTTTTACAATAATATTAATATATTATATTAATTATGTATTTTATACTATATTATTATTCGATAATATTAATTAATATTGCTTAAGTAGACATATTAAAAATTCCTCAGACTAACTGAAATTCGCTTAGCCTGGGTCTACAATAGGTGTAAAGTCTTTAGGCTTTATAGAATTATATCGCTCGAAAGTTTTAAATCGTGAGCTTTAAGAACTGGAATCTGGCTAGTTCGCTTGAAGCTTAGAGAATAGAGCTTCAGGCAGTGCGGGAAACATTTCTGAATGGAAATTATATCATATTTTAAGAATTAGAGCAGAAGGCTAAAAACTTACTACATCTATTGTAGACCCGTTTGTATTTTTCCCGCGCTTTGCCTTGGTAACCATCACAACTTCTCGATTTTGGAAGATCATAAAAGTCATCTTCGTGATCGATCAACTGAGCGTTTTGGAATGGTGATATAGGATTAACGCACAATCGTACCGAAGGTTTTGGAACGATCTATGGTAACCAAAGTAAGATTCTGTGAGTAGGCTCTGCTGGCAGATCATTAGCCTAATGCGGACATAACAGATGCCAAATTGCTAGCAAGAACTGAGGAAATCTGTTGCCAATCTGCTGGCATATTGCGCGCATTTTGCTTACTGGGAGGGTTCTAAAACGCATTCTAGAGAGGTATTTGTTTACATTAACGGACACCTTGCCGATGATCTTGACCTTGACATATGTTATAAGAGTAAGGATGTTAATTAATGTTTACTTTGTTTTAATTGAACGGTTTCGTATGGTTTTTGAGATATTCAACAAAAAAAGTTTATTGAATAGAACGTATTTTTCTGAGACCATGTACATTTAATACAGTATTTATTAAACATCTATTCATCTATACATAAACTACTTCTGTATTAGATATTTATTTACAATATATTTCAAATGTCTACATCTCTCTCTCTCTCTCTCTCTCTCTCTCTCACACACACACACACACACCTGCGCGCGCGAGTGAATATTTATATTTACATTTATATGCCTACATAGTAATAAAAAGTTAGTAACAAAAAACTAACAATAACAATACTGTTAATATATGTATATCAATTTCGAATGTTTAACAAAGGTAAATATGCATATTAGGTTACACCTCACCGATGACTTTGACCTTGACATATGTTGTCAAGGACATAACCCTGAGTGACTTTTCCTTATAACTTAACCGGCGATCTCTTATAGTTTCTGAGATATTTAAAGTTATGATTTCACAATTCTAATAATTTTTCTATTATAAAATAAATAAAAATAAAGATTGTTTACATTGTATTTACGTAGATCAGACGTGGAAAAAGTGTTTTTTTACATATGGATGAGAAAGTATATGCGTGGACGCAGTGGGTTCCGCCCCCCCTGCGGGGGGGCTCCACTTCCAGAAGATATAACCTAACCCAAACCAAATTTTAGTTTTAAATCAGAAATAGGTTTGGGTTAGGTTATATCTTCCGGAAGTGGAGCCCCCCCGTAGGGGGGGGGGGCGGAACTCCCTGCGTCCACGCATATACTTTCTCATCCATGCAACAATTGTGGGGCGGACTGTCTCTCTGTCTCTATATTATTACCCAAATGTTAACTTTAAATATCTCAGAAACTATAAGAGACCGCCGGTTAAGTTATAAAGAAAATTACTCAGGGTTATGTCCTTGACAACATATGTCAAGGTCAAAGTCATCGGTGAGGTGTAACCTAATATGCATATTTACCGTTTATTTCCAAGGTTGGGTAAGATAATTTTTTTTTTAACTGACTAGGTTAAGTTTAAAGTTAATGCTCCAAAAATTAACTAAGTTTACATTAAAAGTTACTGAAACAAAAATTAACTCAGTTAAAGTAAAATTAAAAAATTATTAACTCATTAAAGGTAAAAGTTAATTCTTTATCCAACAGCGAATCGACACATCTGACAAACTTGTACGACAAATGAAATATTCGCATTACGATCAACCATTTTCATACGACTTTAATATTGATAAATTATTTTAATTTGTATAAAAAAAGTTAATAAGTTAACGTTAATGCATTTAAAAATAACTAGTTTAAGTTAAAAGTAAAAATGTTTAAAATTAGTCAGCAAAGTCTGTTCGAACAGATTTTATCAAACGTCTGCTACAAATTTTTGTCAGCAGAAAGACTGCAGATTGTATACAAAATCTGTTATATCAGATAATGATAGCAGAATGTCAGCAAAAATATTATAGAACTTGCTGACATAATTTAACAGCAGATCAGTAGCAGAAACCGAGCAGGATTTACACAGAATCATCATAGCAGATTGGCAGCAGAAACCGAGCAAGATCTGCGCAATGCAGTTTGATGCCAGATTGGCGGCAGAAACCGCGCAAGATCTGCGCGCGCGTAATCTGATGACAAATTGACAGCAGAAATCGAGCAAAATATGCAGCTTTTAGCTATTTATATAATTTATTGAAATAGTATATTTTATTCGCTTACCGCTATGCGGTGCATTATTCACTTTGTATACTCGTATTCAAGTTCTTGTCATGAGCATTAATATATGTTATTAATATTATATATTTATATGTTATTAATATAAACGTCAGCAAATGAAGTCCTGTGAATGTGACATATCAATTATTGACGTCATTTTCGAGTCTCATGAGACCTAATTTAGGACGTCTATTTGGTCATTTTGTGACCAAAATTTAACATTTTTTGTCTCAATAAAACAAAGATATATTACATACATTGTATATCTCATTTATTATCTTTTAAGCGAAACGAGCAATGTAAATTAATGAAGCATTTAAATGCCTGCTATTCTATTTAAATTTAAATTATGACGGCAGATCCTGCTCGATTTCTGCCACTAATCTGACGTCAATCTGAGTTGCGCAGATCCTGATCGGTTTCTGCCGCCAATCTGGCATCTAACTGCGTTGCGCAGATCCTGCTCGATTTCTGCCGTCAATTTGTTGTCGGCTTATGTCGACAGGTTTTGCCGGCAGAACAGAAGCTTAATGTGGACGCAGTTGATGCCAATATGCTGCAATATTCTGCTTGAATCTGCTCGCAAAGTGCTGGCAGACTGCTAACATTTTGCTTACTGCATAAGTTTAGTTAAAAGTTATTAACTTTTTAACTTAATTTTTAACTGTTTAACTAGTTACTACCCAACTTTGCTTATTTCTAATTTAAAATTAAAATTAGTTGTAAGATAAGTACCCAGCAAGCAAAATGATGCAAACTTTGCGCAAAGTTTGCAGCAAACCCGAGCATGCCTTTACAGCAAAATTGTGACAAGGTTTGTCCGCAAAAAGCTTAGCTTTTGCTGGCAAAGCTTGTCGCAATAGTGTGAGATTGGTTCTTACTTTTAGAACCAACGAATCAACGTCGAGTGTTGACAAGACGATAACTAAGCGCTTTCTCTGCTGAACGCGGCCATTCAGTCCAATATCTGAATTCCCTATGTTGGGATTGTATCAGTAATTGAACTGATAGAAATAATTATATTTTTAATCTTCTACCAGTTGCTCTTTGCAAGCTTTATATACATCATGACTACAAATCAAATACGAGATGGATGCATATAGCGCGTCGCATAGCGATGAATAAACGAAGGCTCGGCAGAATACTATATTTTTGTAAAGTTTGTAATAAAGTAAAGTTGTAAATTTGCTGTCATGCCGTGCATGGCAAGGTTTGTTATTTGCGTGAACTTTGCGTCTCGTTGTGCCAGAGTATACTTTGCTCTGTTCTTTCCATAAATGTGTTATCATATCGTGTACAATAAGATTTGTTCTGTTCTTGTCGTAAATTTGCTATTATAGCGTGTATAACAAGATTTGCTACTAATTGACGTAAAGTTTGTGTTACACCGTGAATAGCGTCATATGTGTTCTTCTATGCGTAAAATTTACGGGCAAGCTTTTTTCTATTATTTACAGCATCGTGAAACGAAAAATTTTGCCGTCAATTTGCTTCAAACTTTTTGACAAACCAAAACAAGATAGATGTTTGCTACACAATTGTTGTCAAAATTAAAGCATCCCTTGTTGCAAAGCTTTGGCAAAACGTGATTTTAACATTCTTGGCTATCTGGGTAGGATTAGATTTGGGTTAGGTTAGTTTTCTTTGGGTGAGGGCGGAGTGTTAAAAAATTACATTCTACACAGTAAACTTTTTTGTTAAATATCTCAAAAACTGTACGAAACTGCCAATTAAAACAAAGTAAACGTTAATCAACAATCAAAATCCTCACCTTTACAACATATGTCAAAGTCAAGGTCATCAGCGAGGTAAACAATTACCAAAAGAGGGACTTCGAATCAAACTTGCAGCTGAAGCAAAGCTTTTTTTCAGCAGAATTGTAATCCAAAAGATGCAAATTCTTAACAAATATAAATATATCAATACATATCTATATTAATTTAAGCGGTTAA